GAAGAGGCTCCGAAACGGCCCCCACGAAGCCTTCAGTGCCTTCAGAATTCCCTCCAGGAGCGGGGGAGCGGACGAGAGGCGACAGGCATATCGCAGGCAAAAACGCCCCAAGAGATCCCCAAACGGCCCCCACGAAGCCCTAAGTGGCCTCAGAATTGCTTCCAGGAGGGGGGGAGCGGACGAGAGGCGACCGGCATATCGAAGGCACAAAAGAACAATGTTGGACGCTCCGAGGGCCTTCGATGTTTCTCCGTTGGGGAGAGTCGTCGTAGGATCGACGATTGCCGACCGAGGGCAGCGAATCCAGTGGAGGCCCAAGAGGCCCCCAGGAGCCCAAAAGAGATCCCCAAGAGGTGCCACGGGGCTTAAAAACTGCTTCGAAGCGAGGGGGGCGGACGAGGGGACCGCCTCAGGAGGTTTTGGACGGTTTTGGGCCTCAAAATCGTCCGCTTTACGACGGTTTTGGAAGGATTTTGGCCTTCTCGCCTTTTCCGCTTTCCGACGCTCGAAGACGGCCCAAGAGGCCTCCAAGAGCGCCCCAGAACGGCCCAAGAGGTTTCCAAGAGCGCCCCAAGACAGCCCAAGAGGGCCCCAAGACGACCCAAGAGACGCTCAAGACGGCCCACGAGGGCCCGAAGACAGGCCCAAGAGGGGGCCAAGAGGGGGACCACGGACCGAAAATCCGAGCCTTCCGCCCCAAGAGGGCGCCAGGAGGCCCAAACAGGCCCCCAAGAGGCCCCAAGGGGCCGCCAAGAATCCCCCGAAGAGGCCCCAGGAGGCTCCCAAGGAGCCCAAACGAGGCCCCTACAGAGGCCCCAACAGCTTCCAAAATGGCCCCGAAGAGGCCTCGAGCCCGCCTCCGAGCTTCCTCGCCGCGAGGGTGCCAACACGGCCCCAGACCGGCCCAGGACGGCCCAAGGCGCGCTCAAGACGGCCCAAGACGATTCCAAGACGGTCCCAGGAGGGTGCGCCCAGGACGGCCCAAGGACGCGCCCGTTCGGGGCCTCAAGACGGGCCAAGATGGCAAGAGAGTCCCAGCTGGCAAAAATCGTTAATTTTCCATTGTTTACTGTTACACCCTTTGCGTTTCCCGCCGTTTCGGCGGTCCGATGCACCAAGAGGCCCCAGAAAGTCCCAGGAGGGTCCGAGGAACCGCCCAGGAAGGCCCCAAGACGGGCCAAGACGGACCCAGCACAACCCAAGGCGCGCTGCGACGGCTCAAGACGGCTCCAAGACAGCCCCAAGAGGGTGCCAACACGGCCCCTGCTGGGCCCAGGACGGCCCAAGGAGGCGCACAGGAGGGGCCCAAGACGACTCCAAGGCGGCCTCCTCACGGTCCCAGACGGCTCCAAGACAGCCCCACGAGGACCCCGATGGGCCCAGGACGGCCTACGGACGCGCCCATGAGGGGCCCACGACGAACCAAGACGGCCCCATCAGGGCAAACGGCGGACTCCAAGACGGCCCTTTGAGGGAGCCAACGCGGCCCCACACCCTTCGGGCGCACACTTGGGGGGGCTGGGAGCTTGCGACAAGTCTCCCACATTCATTGTCCTGCCCCATTCTGTTCGCCTGGAGGCCTCCTCCAACCCTGTGGGCGAACAAGAGGAATCCCAGCGGGACGCCAACCCTGGGGCCCGTGGGCCCCGCGCCGCTTGGGCAGAAGACGAACGCCGGGTCTGACAGGCCAGCTACCGCCCCCCTTTGCCCGATATGCTGTGCCATTCTGTTCCCCCAGGGGCCTTGGCAAACTCTTCGGGCCAAGCAGACCGGACCCCTGGGACAGCAGCCAATTGATATGACCCTGGGACCTCTCCGCATTCTTCGGACGAGCATCTGGGGGGCCCAGGAGATTCGGACATGTCTTCCCCATTCCTTGCCCTGTCCCGTTCTGTTCGCCCGAAGGCCTCCACAGACCCTCTGGGCGAACAGAATGGGACATGGCGAACAAACCCTCCCGTTGGCGGTGATGCGACTGGATCGCACCATCAAGGCGCGCCCGGAGGTGATGGCCGACCCAACAGCGGTTTCTCTTAAGAGTTCACTGGATTTCAAATTTTCTTGAAGCTCTCTTGGGCCCTCCCTGTAGATCCTTGCGAGCCTCCCCGGCGCTTTCGGTGGCTTTCCCCGATGGCCTCCCGAGCCCTTCCCCGAGCGCTCCTGAGACGCCTCAGATGGGCTTCGACTTCGACGCACATCCCCGAGAGACTTCGAAACTGTCCTCAATAGGAGGGGGGTGAACGAGCAGTGCGCTGGGCCAAGCTGCTGCAGCGCTGCAAGAGCTCGGACACGAAGGCGCGGTCTCGCTGCCGCCGCCCGAGCCGCCGCCGTGTTTGTAGATTTTCGGTACAATCTGCGCCGTTCCTCCGAGAACCATTCCAGAAAGATGTCGTGGACGGAGTCCACGGGTCAGCTCTAGTCAGCTACAATGCTGGGATCAGCGCGTGCGAGAAAGGCAAGCAGTGGCAGCGGGCTCTGATGCTTATCAGAGAGGTGGGGGAGGCGAAGTTGGAGCCCAACGTCATGTCTTCTGCAATGCCGGAACCGGTGCGTTTGAGAAAGACGCATTGGCAGCCTGGTAAACGGGCCGGCTGGCATTCCTGGAGATTCCCAGGACGGCCCCATAGCGCCCGAAGCCGGCCCCAGACAGATTTTCAGAGATCATCGTGGGGCCCCGACGCGGTCGAACATGCTCTGAGAAGCTTTGCAGGGTGCATCACAGGCCTCAAGAGAGGCACCTGACTTGCTGAAGGAGGGCTTCGCGCGGCCTCGGATTTCCCCGAGAGAGCCGGAAGATGTTCCCCAGGTGCTTGCTTCAGGAAGCTTCCAAGACGGCCCCGAGGGCCTCAGAGTGCTTCGGTAAGCCGCCAAGACGGCCCAAGCTGGCGCCCACGGAGTGCTCGATGACGGCCCGGGACTGGGCCTGAGTTGGCCCAAGATGGCCCCGAGGGGGTGTCAAGGCGGCCCACGAGGGAGCTGAGCGAGATGTGGGAGGCGAGACTGGGGCCCAACCGCACATCCTAGTTGCTTTGATGCAGTGCTTGCGAGAACAGGACAATGTTTGGGCCAGAGCCTGCCAAGAGCCCCCAAGGACTTGTCCAAGAGTCCAAGAGTGCTGGCGAGATTGCTCCAGGAGGGGCTCACAGAGACCAAGAGGCATCTGGGACAGGCCCAGAACAACCGCAATACTGCCCCAAGACAACCCATCAGGGCACCTGGCGGAGACCTCCAGGAACGTGCAGGACAGCCTCAAATGGCCCATAAGCGGATGTTTCCTGGGCAGTTTTGTATGCGTCACTTGAATATTTGTGTTGTTTCCGTTGTGGTTGCCCTGGTTGGGTCCGATCGGACTGGGCGGGTCCATTCGGACCCTGCCGTCGGTCGGAGCGTGTCGGGAGCGTCTCCCAGCGCGTTCTTTCCGCATCACCGTGTTGTAAACAGGCCTGTCGTCTCTGAAGTATTCTTGCGCCATGATTCGCTGTGTTTGCCGTCCCGTGTCGCGATCAACTTAGTTCTCTTAGGACGTGAGCGGTGCTTCTGTGGGCGCTGCAATCCTCGTTTTTGCATGCGAGTGTAATCTCGTTGACAGCAGTCCACGGGTCAGCCCTAGTCAGCTTCAGCGCTGGGATCAGCGCGTGCGAGAAAGCCGGGGAGTGGCAACAGGCTCTCGCGCTGCTCAGGGAGATTTGGGAGGTGAAGGTGGAGCCCAATGTCGTGAGCTACAGCGCTGGGGTCAGCGCTTGCGAAAAAGGCGCGCAGTTTCAGCAGGCTCTGGCGTTGCTCAGAGAGATACGCGAGGTGACGTTGGAGCCCACCGTCATCTATTACTACAAATACCTGGCAGCGCGCGTGCCAGAACGGCCATTCGCTCCCGCGGCGCTGCCTCGGCGGCTCCTTCTCCGCAGCTCCGCTCGGGCCCTCCTAGGCGCCCTGGCGCCTCCGGGGTCGCCTCCCCTTGGCCCTCGAGTGCCCGAGAGCCTCACAGAAGGGCCAAGGCGCGCACAAAACCCTCTCAGACAGGCCCGACAGAGGCTACAGACTCCGAAGATCGTGAGAAACGCTAGCATTTCAATGTTTTCAGTTTCCCGAGCTTCTCACCTCCTCGCAGGATCCCGCGGCCCAAGAGGCCCCTGGAGAGCCCCAAGATGGCCCATAGGACGACCTCAAGACACTCCCAAGACAGCCCCATCTATTGCCCAGGAGGTGCCCAAGCAAGGCCCCAAGCAGGCCCCAAGTTGGCCTCAAGAGTGCCCCCATGAGCGACCCCCCGGGGAATCCGGCACTCGGCAACGCGTGCGTCCAGGCCAGGTGGGTGATTCGTACGGTGGCCGCCCCTCGCGCCTCCCTCATGTCTCCTCGCTCTTTGCTCCTCGCTCCTTGATCCTTGCTCTACGCTTCTCGATCCTCGCCCGTGGCTGCTCGCCCCTCGTGGCTCGCTCCTTGCTCCTCTCTATCCTCGCACGCTGCTCCCCGCTCATCGCCCGTCTCTCACTGCTCATTGCTCCTCTCTTCTTCTCTCCCCTCTCCTCTCTCTTCTCTCGTCGCTCCGCCCTCTTGGACACTCGCACCTCTCTCCTCCTCCCGCCTCCTCCTCAGCCCTCCATCCTCTCTCCTCTCTCCTCAGCCGCCGCTCCTTGCTCCTCCCTGATCGCTGCCTCCTCGCTGCTCCCTCCTCCTGCCCGGCTCTCCTCGCTCCTCTTCCGAGCACGAAGCAGGCACCAGCAGCGGCAGCACACAGCATGCAGCTGGCAGCGGCCAGCAGCATGCAGCAGGCAGACCGACCTGCAACCCACAGCTGCAACAGCATTCTGCAGCGGCAAGCATTATCAACAGCACGCAACAACTGAAGCAGCCAGCAGCACGCAGTAGCAGGCGCGGACTGCGAAGCTCGAGCCCCGCGTTATCATTTCAGCCTTTCGGCAACATGCCCGCCTTCATATGCCAGTTCGTGAACAGTTTGTGGACGTAGTCCACACGTTCGCCCTTGTGAGTTATAACGCCGGAATCAGCGCTTGCGAGAAAGGTGAGCAGTGGCAGCAGGCTCTATCGCTACTCAGCGAGATGTTGGAGGCGAAGTTGAAGCCGGACGTCATCAGCTACAGGGTGCAACACAGCTCGGGGTCTCCCTGGAGAGCCTTAACAGGGCCCAAGAGTGCACCGGGAAGCTTCCAAGACGGCCCAAGTCGGTCCCAGGAATGCCCACGAGGGCCCCAGGAGGGCCCGACGATCGCCCGGCAGAGGCCTCGGCCCAAGATGGCCCCGAGAGGTCGTCAAGACGGCCCAAGAAGCACCTGAGGGAGATGCGGGAGGCGAGACTGGATCCCGACCACAGCCATGTTCTGCTGATGCAGTGCGTGCGAGAACAGGGCACTTTGGGACTGGAACGTTCGGGCCAGAGCCCGCAGCGAGGCCCCCAAGGACCTGTCGAAGAGGGCCAGCGAGAGGGCCCCAGGAGGGACTCAGCGAGCACAAGAAACATCCAGGGCAGCCACAGAACAATCCCAAGACAGCTCCGAGACTAGCCAATAGGGCCCCTTGAGGAGACCCCCAGGCAAAGTGCAGGACAGCCCCAGGTGGTCCGAGAGCTTCGAGGCGATCCAGAGCATCCCCAGAGCTCCAAGGTGCCCCCAGGTGTAATTGTTGCTCAGTGATTTGAGGAGCACGCACGGCACGTGGCTGACCGGTACCGACGCTGGTTGGAACGTGTCGAAAGCGTCCCAGCGCGCTCCCTCCACAGTGCCGTGTCGCGAATAGGTTGATCTATCTTGATGATTCATTTCGCAATGACTCGCTGTGTTTGCCGTGCTGTGTCGTAACGTTGTTCTATAAGGCGAGGCAGGCGCACTGTGGCAGCTTGGCAAACGGTTGAGGGGCCAGACCCTCCACATTGGCCCCGAGCGCCTCAAGAAGGCCTCAGAAACGGCATCAGAGATCCCCAGACGGCCCGCACACGGTCGCAGAGGCCCTAAGATGCGTTGCAGGGTGCACAGCAGGCCAAGAGAGGACCACAGAGGCGCCAAGAGAGGCCCCAGATAAATTGCTTCAGGTGGGCTTCGCGCGGCTTCGAAGTTGCCCAAGAGCGCTAGAGGGCTCCAGACTGCCCCAGAAGATTCCAAGACGGCACAAGCGTGCCCCAGAGTGACGCAGGAAGCCTCCAAGATGGCCCAAGTCGGCCCTAGGAATGCCCAGGGGCCCCCGGAGGCCCCGATGATGACCCAGGGGAGGCCTGAGTTTGCCCAAGACAGCCCTGAGGGGACACCAAGACGGCCCAAGATGGCCCTGAGGTGTGGGAGGCGACACTGACGCCCGACCGCATCCATGTTTTGACGCAGTGCGTGCTAGAGTAGGGTGCTATGGGGCTGGGACGTCTGGTTCAGAGCCCGCCGAGAGGCCCCCAACGATGGGTCCAACAGGGCCGGCGAGTCGGCACCAGGAGGGATTCAGAGAGCCTAAGCAGCGTCCAGGGTAGCCCCGGACTGCCTTGAGACGGCCCCGAGACGACCCAACATGGTCCCTGGCGGAGACCCCCCAAGCCAGTGCCAGACAGCCCCAAGTGGCCAAAGAGCTTCGAAGCGCTTCAGGGCAGCCTCAGGTGGCTCCAAGGTGCCCCCAAGACGGCCCAGAAGACGTCCTCCCCATTTTTTCAGCCCCAAGACGGCCACACGCATCGAAAACCTTATATTTGAAATGTCTCGGGCCTCCTCGTCTTGACAGCCCCAGACGGCCCTAACAATGATTGTGCCACTTGCTACCCCTGAATTTCATCTACAAGAAAGCCTTATCAGCTACGCAGCTGGACTCGGCGCGTGCGATAAGAGCGAGCGTGGCATGCACGTGTTGCTGTTACTTAGCAACTTGGTAGCTGAGCGGTATCTTGGTAGCTGAGCGGCATCTCTTCATCAACTTTGCCTGGCAAATTTGTATGCGAAGTCCTCGCTTTGACGGTTTATCGTTGCCGTCATGGTTGGTCTTGATTGGGTCCGACCGGATTCTGAAACCTGCCGGCATGTCGGAGGTCCGATCGACTGGCCGTGAACTCGGCCGCCAGTCGGAGCGTGTCGAGGGCGTCCCAGCGCGCTCCCTCCACAGTGCTTTGTCGCGAAGAGATTTGTCGTCTCGGATGTTTCGTTGTGCCCTGATTCCATATGTTTGCAGTGCCATGTAGCGATCAACGGTGACCACGCGCATGCGCTGCAAACATCATTTCTGCATGCGAGTGCGATCGCGTAGACGGTAGTCCACGGGTCAGCCTTAGTCAGCTCAGGTTAGCTACAGTGCTGGGATCAGCGCGTGTGCTAAATCCGGACAGTGGCAGCGGGCTTCGGCGTTGCTCATGGAGATGCGGGAGGCGAAGGTGGAGTCCAGCATCATGCCTGTATCACGATTCTGGGTCAAGCGCGTGAGAGATAGAAAAGCGGTGCTGGGAAGTGCCCTTCACCAGTGCCTAGGGTGAGGTCGAATTCTGCAAAGATGGTCCCAATCACCCCTAGACGCCTCAACATTGCCTCACGGTGCCCCCCCAGATCCGCGCGTCGTCGTCATCGATTTCTTTTGTTTTTCCTTCTTTTCCCCTCCGTAGCCCGCTTCGCTCAAGCTGCTCTTGCTCAAGGTGGCTTGCGCAGCCGGGGCACTGCTGGCGGTCGCGCCCGCGGGCCTCGCCATAGAGACCGCGGCTGCGCGGCGGTGGCGCCAGCGGGCGGCCGCCTGGGCGGCTCGCGTCGCGCGCGCCGACGGCTCCACGCGGGCTCCGGACGCCGCTGGCGCTGCGGGCGCCGCTGGCGCCGCTGGCGCTGCTGGCGCCGCGGCTGCCGCGGGCGCCTCTTGCACCGTCGGCGCCGCTGGCGCTGCTCGCGACGCTGGCGTCACCAGGGCTGCCGCTGCCGCCAGCGCCGCCAGCGCCGCCGGCGCCGCGGGCGCCGCGGATGCCGCGGGCGCTGCGGGTGACGCGGGCGCCGCCGGCGCTGCAGCCGCCCTGGCGCCGCCTCCGCGCCTGGCGTCTCGGGTGGCCGGCCCTGGCCCTGCTGCTGACGGTGGGCGGGCTGGCGCCGTTCCGCCGCCGGCCCCGTCGCTGGCCTAGCCGGCGGGCAGGCCGACGCTGGCCCTGCCGCGGCCGCGGCCGCTTGCCGCGCTGCCCTGGACGCGGCCTAGGCTGCGGCGGCAGTTGGGCTCTGGACTGCTTCCTGCGCCGGGGCCTGGGCCGCCGTGCTCTGGGCCGCCGTGCTGGCCGCGCGGGCGGCCTGCGCGCACGACGGACTCCAGCAGCACGTCCATGAGCATCACGACGGACCCCAGCAGCCTCATCGTGAGCAACGCGACGGGTGCCAGCAGCACCATCGTGAAGAGCTCGACGGGTTCCAGCAGTACGATAACGAGCAGCACGACGGACGCCAGCGGCAGCACGATCGTGAGCAGCATGGCGGACTCTAGCAGCATCGTCGGGAGCAGCACGGCGGACCCCAGCAGCACGAACGTGAGCAGCACGACGAGCTCCAGCAGCACCATCGTGACCAACACGACAGACCCCAGCAGCGCGTCCGTGAGCAGCACAACGGACTTCCAGCGGCGAGACCGTGAGCAGCACGATGGACTCCAGCAGCATGGTCGCGACCAGCACGACGGAGTCCAGCAACACCCTCGTGAACAACGTGATAGACTCCAGGTGCACGTCCGTGGGCAGGCGACGGACCCCAGGTCGGCTGCCGAATGCGCGGCCTTCCTCCGAGGGCTTGCGGCCGCTGGGCACGACGTTGTAGAGTGGGCCGATCGAGAGGGCGCGGCGCTGCCGCGGCGCCTGCGCGGGCTGCGGCCCGCGGGCCCGGCCGGGGACCATTAACTTTGAACGCGGCCGTTGCGTGCCTGGCCCCAGGTCCCAGCTCGCTATGCGGTCTTGTAACCCTGGTCGCCTCTGTTGGAGGAGGACGGCGCCTCCCCCGTCGCCCCGTCACTCGCCTCGATTTTCTGGCCCGGACGTGCCCTCGGGAGTGGTGCCCCATCCTTGCTCCGCCCTGGTTCGCGCGTGTCTCGGCCTAGTCCGTCCCGGGGTCCAGGGCGCCTCCCGGATGGCCTGGGCCCGGGTCGCCCTGGGGAAAGGGCAGCGCCGGCGGTGCTTGCTACACCTGTGAGTGCGACGATCAGTCGCGAATGCTCTGGCTGCCTTGCTTCCAGCCTGGAGATCGAACGAGACTGCCAGTCAGCCGGGGCAGGTCTTCTCACGCCTGGAGGTGCCCCTCTGTCGGGAGGATCTGGTGACGCGCGTGGCCGCCGCATCAACGAAGGGGGGGGCCCATTCGGTGGGCGGGCGTATGGGGCCCCATCGATACCTTCCCTCGCCCCTGCGGGATTCCGCGAGATGCCGACGATGTTCGCTCCGGCGTCTCCAACCCGGCGGGGCCTGGAATGGCGCGCAGTCCTCCGGGCAATGGGCTCCTTTGCGCGGCGCTTCCCGCCTGCTGAACGACTCCCCCAGGTCAATCCGTTGGAGCGGAAGCGCCCGCGCCGTTTTTTTGCCACCTGTGCGTGCGGCGATCAGTCGCGATTCCTGGCACCTGGTGCAAGCGCATCCTTGCAGCTCGCGGAGTGGTTTCCCCCCTGGGGCGGCTCCAGCGCTGAATGGTATGTCCGATCTGGGAATGCGCCTGCCTGGTCTGTCCGCCTGCTGTCCAGCAGCTGGGGGCGGCCGCCTGGGCCTGGGCGGCGGGGTCGCGCGGGCGCTCGGGATGGGCTGGCCAATCGCTTGGTTCGGCCAGGTTGCTCTCGCGCGGCAGACGCTCCCCCCGACCGCAGGCCGCTCCAGCCCAGGGGCGGCCCAGGGGCGGATGGGTCCAGCAGATCGACCGAATCCATGCGATTCCCCTGGCCGGGGATGTGGAGTTCGGCTGGGGCGTCGACGACGTCGGCGGCGCCCTCGACCGCGTCGGTGGGCTAGGGGTGTGTGCTTGGTGGAGGGCGGCGCCGCCCTTGTCGCCGCAGTCGGATTCGCCTCGGAATCCGGTCCAGGCGTGTCCTCGGGCGCCCCCCTGGCCTTGCCCCGCCTTGGCTTTCCTGTCGCGGACGCGTTTCGGCCTTGCGTGCTTCGGCTCTCGCCGCCCTGGCCGCG